GAAGCGCCGTCTGCTTTGGTTGGGGATCCTAGCAGCACCTGCCTCTCCGATGGGAGAAGAGTGGGAAGTCCTCATGCATCGTGGCCTTGGATCCAGTGGGTGCACGTGGTTGCATTCCACCATGTTGGACCTTTTTGTCTGGCATGGGAATCACTAGTTTATCGTGCTTCCTGGCCCCGCCTTGTGCGTTTATGATGACGGTGGTGAGGCTCAGAGTGCTTTACCAAGTCACCCCCCTCCCCCCCCATCGTACCCCTCTGTGGATTTTGAACAGGGAGCTCAGCTGCTGGCTTCTGTCCACATGGTGATAATGCAGGGACAGCTTGCTCCTTCCCATTTTTCTTTTCAGAGCCGAGTCCTTTTGGTAAAACTCCAAGCAGATATGTTCTTGACAGTCCTGCCAGGTCTGCTCCATCCGTCCCTTGCTGGAAGCCTTCAGACTCTGGCCTGGACGGGCAGATCCCTCTCTCAGAGCCTCTCCTCTTGGCCGGCGGTGCATCGACACATTGCTTTTCTGAACCCCTTTCCCAAGGTTTGCTTCTGTGATGCAACTAGGTTCCACCAGGATGGCTCTGAGGAAGCCAGCTTTGCCAGGGCTCGATGTCCCAAAGAGGCTGTGGGGGGAGTCTCGGGCACGGGAGTGAGACCTGGTTGTGGTGGAGACGCTGGCTCGTTAGAGTTGTTGAGCCCCTCTGTGGCCGGAAAGGCTCCAGGTCTCACACTAGCACCCCCATGTGTCAGATCCATTTTGTTCACCCCTGTTTTAAAAAGTGGATTTTGTCTTATTTGTTACGGGGAAGTAAGACAGATTGGGAAGTGAACTCCCCATTTTTGCACGTTGGCACGGGTGTTTTGTTTTCTTCATTAGGTCTGAAAGGACTGAAGGGGAACCTTCTTGCTTAGGCTTGTCCAGGATTTGGCTCCCAACCCACTAGTCCATTATTGACTGTGTCAAAACAAAAGTAAAAGTGATTTCCTGGGAGATGGCAAAGGCAATCAGGCTTATGCTTGCTGGTTAGCTAATGGAAACCACGTTTAAGGTTTTTGCCCTTTCCAGTCCTCTCTGGTGTTTTCTTCTTTCTGGCCACTTGCAGTGTTTTTTCCTTGACCTGATAGTTGTGAAATTTGTAATGTTCCTTGGGGTTTTTATTTTGGGGTCTCGTGGTGGAGGTGAGCGGGGGATTCTCTGAATGCCTGTTTTGCCTCTGGTTCCAGGATCAGTTTTCTTTGATAATTTCTTGAAAGATGTTGTCCAGGGGTCTTCCCTTTGATTATGGCTTTCAGGTAGTCCTGTGATTCTGACGTTGTCTCTCCTGGATCTGTTTGTCCAGGTCAGTTGTTTTTCAAATGAGACATTTTATGTTTTCTTCTATGTTTTCATCCTTTTGAATTTGTTTGAGTCTCATAGAGTCATTAGCTTCCGCTTTCCCAGTTCTAGCTTTTGTCCTTCCTTTTCCATTCGGCCAGTTGTACTGTTAAAGCATTTGTTCTCTTTTTCCAGGCTGTTGATTCTCAGCATGATTCTCTTGCATCACTCATTCCTTTTCCCAATTTTTTTCTATCTCTCTTCTATGATTTTTAAGCTACTTTTTGAGCTCATTTGTGAGTTCTTTCTGGGCTTGAGACCACTTCCTGTTTTTCTTTGGGGCTTTGCCTGTAGGTGTTTTGACATTGTTGTCTTGTTCTTCCCTGTTACCATGATAACTTTCTGTGGTCAGAATCTTTTATTGTTGTTTTTTTGCTCACCTGTTTTTGGCCTTTGTCCTTTCTTTTAAATTTGAGCTCTGCTCCCAGGGTGGAAGGGACACTGTCTCGGCCTTCTTGTGCCAGGGGCTGCAGGCCCTGGCCGTTCACCTGTGCTGCACTGATGTTGCCCTGAGGCCCGCTGTGCCTGGTGCTACAATGAAGGGGTAAGGTGCGGGGCGGGGGTGGCTGGCAGCTTACCTGACGCTGAGCCGGGGTCCGAGTGCTGGTGTCTGGCGTGTGCTGAGGCCCTGGGGCTCCACTGCAGCACATGGTGGGCTGCCTGTTTGCCGGGACTGTGCTGGGTTGGTGTCCACCTCTGGTTTTTCCTTCTTAATTCTGCCCTGGATATCCTTGGAGCTCCTAGCTGAGTCATGGCACCGAAGCCTTTTAGCTTCTGCAGTGACTCCTGGTGCCACACACAGACACTGTGATTATTTGTCGTCGTGAGATGGACAGTCCCTCCAAGGATGTACATAGCCGCTCATACACGCCTGCCCTTCTCGAATTACTCTTCTTTTTAAATAATGTTTTATTTTTTCCCAATGACATGTTAAAACACTTTGAAGTTTTGAGTTCCAGATTCTAGCCTACCTGCCCTCCCCTCTCCCCAAGACGGTAAGCAGTCCAACACAGTTTACACACGTACAGTCTTGTATGACATTTCCATGTTAGTCATTTCGTGCAAGACTGAAACCAACAGAAAAAGAAGGAAAGAGAGTGAAAACCAGCCTGCGTCAGCTCTCCCTGTGGCGGCAGAGAAGGCCTCTGGGGTTGTCCTGGACCATGGCATTGCTGAGAAGGGCTAAGTCATCTGTTTATCAGACAGTGTGGCTCTCCTTGTGCGCAGCGTTCTCCTGGTTCTGCTTGCTTCGCTTTGCATCCGTCCACGCGAGGCCGTCCAGGTTTTCTAACATCACCCTGCTTGTCATTTCTTACAGCCCGATAGCATTCTGTCATGATCGTCTGCTGTGACTTGGTCAGCCGTTCCCAGGCGATGGGCATCCTTTTAACTCCACATTCAGATGGGTGTCTCCCCTCTGGGCTGATGCAGACCCGCAAAGCTCAAGTGGTTGTGTGAGGCTGCCAATGGAGCATCATGGTGTTTGTGCGGGCCGCTCTCTGACTGTAGCCTTCTCTTCCAGGGAGTCCCTGCCCATCTCAGCTGTCTCACTCATTGTGTTGACGTCTCCTGGGTACTCGCGGCCGCCTGACCTCTTCAGGAGCTGCTCAGGCCACCTCTCTTGTCCCTCCCTGCTCTTCTGTTGTTATTCACCCCATATCTGGCCCTGGTGTTCATTCTCCACACACATTTAGTCATTATTGGACAAATGATGTCTTCGCATTGGAGGCCATGGCTGGTTTCCACAGCATGGGTGTAATCTCTTATTGCGTGGACCCACGAAGAAAGCGTTTGGGGAACATTTGGGATCTGAGGAAGCCGAGAGGCCAGGACTTTGGCTTTAAAACTGAATTATGTCACAGTTGGTAAATTGATGGCAGACGTGTTACTCCTGTTTAAAATACGAAGACAGTTTTAAAAAAGTGTTGTTCATCTGTACCCAGCATATCTGAGCCAAAAAGGACCTCGGGGGGCCAGCTGGTCCTGAACACAAAGCTCCCCCTCTCCCCACCCCTGGCTCTCCGATTCAGCTCTGACTCATCCACTTCCAGGATGAAAGCCGAAGGTAGCGTTTGGAACATCCCCCATGGCTCCTCACCGGCCCTCTGCAGTCGCAACAAGTTGAATCCCTTGACCTTAGGATGACCCTTTGGATATTCGGCAACAACTAGGAAACCCCCTCCCCACCTTAAATTCTCTTTTGAGGCTTGAAATCTGTAGTTCCTAATGTTCAGAGACTTGGAACTCAAGACCCTTTGTCATCCCACCGTTCTGCATGCAGGAGGGGTCAGTGGGCAGTTCTTTCCTCTTCTGGATGGCCTCTGCCACCTTGTTCATGGCGGGGCACTGTCCTGGAGTCTTTGTCACCCTCCCTTCTCACTGGTCCCTGGGTTATGTTCAGAGTCTTGTACTCCTCCCTGGAGCTGCCCAGAGCTTCCTAAGTCACTTCCTCACTCGAGCAGCCTGCCCTGGAGCCCCATGGCTCCAGAATAAGATAAGTGCCTTCCCCTGGAATGGCACAGCCTCCACTCTGGCCTTGAACTTGCCGCTCCCTCTTTCGTGTCTTTCCAAGCTGCCTGGAATGGCTGAATCTGCCTCAGTGCACATTTGCTCCTCATTCTGGAGCCAAGTAGAGAAGGTGATAGCCCTTCAAAAACTTGGGGAGTTGGCTCTCATGTGTACCTAGGCCTTCACCGCCCTGACCACCTTCCTTCCCCAGGAGGCCCCATCTGATGTGCCTGGGACTGTAGGGCTGGCTGCTGGGGGCCTTTCCAACTCTCCATGTCTCTGAGAGTCTCTTCTGTTGGCCTTGGGAAGCTTGCGGTCCACTGAAGCCCTCAGATCCTCTTTGGATGGAATGCTTTCCAGCCAAAGCTTTTCCATTTTGTCTTTTGGAAGCAGATTTGCAAACCACCTTGGTATAACCTTGACATTTACCCTTATCAAATTCCATCTGAAGCTGCCCTTCTTCACTTGGTGAGCCTGCTACGTACACCTCCTCTGTGCCGAAGACGGTGAGGTTCAACAAGGCCAGTCCCAGAGCCGTGAGCCGCAGTGACGGTTTAGGCTCCAGCCGTTTCCAGCTCCACACTCTTTGTGGGTTCTCATCTTCTGTCCAAGAGACTGACAGCCCCTGAAAGTGTCTTTAGCATTCCCCCTCATCTTCCAGTCAGAAAAGGAGATGGGATGTTATCTGACTCTGCATCAGCCCCTTCTCCATCCTGCTGAATCCACAGCCAGCACCCTTGTGGGTGGCTGCCTCGTCCCTGCATCTGGGGGCCAAATCCCAAGGTTCAGTCATCATCTCTACCCCCAGGAGCCAGTAGGGGCTGGGACTGGGGTACCTCCGTGAACAGAGCACAGGGCCTAGAGTCTGGAAGCCCTGAGTTCAAATCCAGCCTCGCTCCGTGACCCTGGGCAGGTCACTGTTTCTCTCTTTAAAGTGGGAGCACTGACAGTGCCTCCCTCCTGGGGGGGTAGTGCTCCCTCCTTTCAGCTCTCCTTGCCCTCTCTGCCGCATGTGATAGGAAAGATGGCGTCTTTTAACCTGAGAGTTAGAAGGGGATCCCTGTTCCCCTAAGCCCGGGGTGAGTGTTGCGCTGGGCCTGATGGTTGCTGTTTGTGTTTGTCGCAGGTCTCCACTTGGGAAACACGGCACTCTCCCCACCTAGCTGGACTGATGTAGCGAGTTGGCGGATGCTGGCTGGACGGGGCTGCTACCAAACACACCAGTTATCAGTGCTGACAAGAGCCTCCCAAGTGCCAACTTAGAGATGACGATGCATTCTGAATTCTAATGAACTGCTTTAACCTTCAGGAAGAATTGTAAAGACATGTACATAGCACAGCGTGCCCCGGAGACTATCTGTCCTGCCCGTGTCCACCCCATCCGCGGTGTACCAAATGATGCTCTCGTAGTTAGACTAAGAATCGTGTACATTCGAAAGATTTTAGCAGGTTTTCTTTCCCTGTTCATTGTTTCTTTATCAGTTTAAAGAGACTTCTTAAAGCATGTCAGATTAAAACCAATTAGGATTAAACTTGTCCATTTACTTTTCCTTTAAACCATTGAGGCTTCATTAAACGCTTTCATTTACTAGACTTTTGTATTTTCTTTGTTTGGAAACACTTCCCTGGGCTCTCGAGCCTTTTCCCATTGTTTAGTTCAGCTGTGGAGACTCACTGAGCAGCTTCCTGACTTGAATGAGGACCTGCCAGGGATGGCCAGCCTGCGGTGCTCTCTTCCTGTCATCCAATCACGCACGTCTTCGATTGGGTGTAGCAATAATCTTTCTGGCCGTCAAGCTCTCGCGCCCACTCTCCCGGTCCAAAGTCAGTGGCTTGGAATTGACCCCAGGGTTTTTGGGGTCCTTTGTTGACATTGGACTCAACAAAAGCGTGGCCGGCTGGAAGCCTTTCCCACCAATAACTTCTGGGTTTGTGATTGAAGATGCTGTGTCCCCCCACACCCTCCCCATTTCTCTACACCTAATGTACAAAGAAATTGCGATGTATATTTTCATGTAATTTGATTTTTGGAATTCTGTCACCTTATGTAGTGAGTTCTTCCAAAATATAATTTTTTCCAATAATTGTCCAGGTGTTGACTTTTTCTGTACTGAATAAAGATTAACATACTGAATAATACCCGAGAAGTGCAGTTTAGGAAAATCTCAGGTTGATTCCTTATGCAAACTGAATACTTGAATCCCCCATGGCCATGGCAGTGTATGGAGGCCTTGGTAGAAGTGGGTGTACGAGGGTGATGTGGAGAGCCAGTGGGTCAGGCGCACTGCCAGTAGACAGAGCGGCTGCCGTCTTAATTTAGGAGTGTGGGAGCCCATGCCCGCCCTCCCCTTGCTGAGGAGGGACAGGAGCACAGAATCAGGCTCTCCTGGCAGGTCAGAACTTTGCAGAGCCCCGAGGCTGTGGCGCTCCTGTCCACGGGAGGCCCTGTTCAAGGGATGGACAAGGGTGTGGCTGCAGTGGAGAGAGATCTAGCTCAGAATCTGTTCTCTCTCCCCTAAAGCCAGGAGGAAACCTTTCCTGGAAGGGGGCAGGACGCACTCTCCTTGCCTGTACCCAGGCCCAAAGCCTCAATGGCAGGGGTGACCAGCACACCCCTTGGTTGGGTCACAGCATGCATCCTGCGCCTGTGACTGTGGTGTGAAAGGACTTTGATATTCAGTGTCAGTGTGGAGTCTCCTTCCCAGGGAGGGTTTTCTTGGCTTGTGGCCCTCCCTGCCAGGGCTTCTGCCTCTTCTGTTTCCACTGTTCTGAAGAGGACTGCTGCCCACACAGTGCTCTGGGTCACTCAGGGAGTAGGAGAGGAGCATTTCAGTGCCCCTTAGACCAAGGGTGGGACGAGGCGGGGCCTGGCTGCCCTTCATGGTGCTCCGGGGAGTGGCATACTTGCCCAAGGAGACATCAGGACTTCATTCCTCCGTCGGTGGCAGGCAGGGGTGTCATCTGTGCCTTCTTTTCCCGTCTGACCACTGCACCAGTTGCCTCTCCTTTCTGTGGTGGTGAACAGCATGGAAGCATCAGGGCAGCCTGTTCGCCTTGGACCTCCCTGTTAACATGAGGCGACTTTCTCTTCAACTTGGTGCCAACAGCGTGGACATGAGAATTGCTGTCAGGACTCTGGAACTGTTGGCTCTTTGCATCCTCTCCCGAGTTATTGGGTGGCTCCTCCCATCGGATCTGCCCCTTCTGGGATGGGGGAACCCAGGGGCCTCCTCCTCTGTGCTTCAGGCCCTTGGGAAGTTGGGTTCTGATACTCCCACTGCCTTGGGGAGAGGATTCTGCTCGCCTTGGCAGGGCCGGACAAAGGACCCAGCCTCTCAGTGGGAGTTGGACTCTGGCTTGGGCACGTTGCCCACGATGCATCCCCCACGGAGGGCAGCGTCCCCACGTCTCTTGTGCTTCCAGCCTCTGAGTGAGTGGAGTGGTCCCTTCTCAGCATCTAGGACATTGGACTGATGTTACTTCATTCCCATGTTTTTAGTTGTGTGGTTCATTGATTGTATTTCTTGCCGTGCATTCTGTTGTGAGGTTTACCGTATTGTAAAGCACTCTGTCTGTCACTCAATAAAGGATGGCTTCTAGGTGACCTCTTGAGCTGTTGTGGTTTCAGGGTACAGATGTCCAAAGAAGGCTGGGGGCTCGCCATCTTTGCAAATGGCACGTGCCGCCTTGACAGGTGGGCAGAGGAGAGGGAGGCTTTGTCTCAGCCAGACTTAGTGACAGCAGTTAGTACTGGGGACCAGCTTTGGGTTAGTAATCTGGGCACCTTCTCGAGGGAGCATGCCAGGGCCCAGCTTGGGGGAAGGGGGGTTGACCTGGGCTTACTTTCCTTGGCTAAACTTGGCCCTCCCACAGCCTTAAACTAGAGGATAGACCATGCTCAGCAGAATGCCTTTCCTTTATTTCATTTCAGTCCAGCCCCTCCTTGGCTGTTTTGTGGGTGCTGAGCCCAGGGATGGGGGCCGTACATGGCTGGACAGGCTAACGGGATGAGGCATCAGGCTGAGAGACGGGGCCAAGGCCTGGGAGACCCCTCCCAGGCAGAGCCGAGAAAAGCTTTCTCAAAGGCAATGGAGGGTGGGGGAGGCCATCGAGATGGCCGCCTTCTTTTAATAGAAGATAGTTGGTCTGTTCGCTCTTTACACAGATCACACTTACACTGAGCTCAGAGACAGTGGGATGTGGCTGCGAAGCCCTTCTTCTGGCCTGGCAGCCCAGGGCAGATGGCTCGTGAGAGTGAGCCCTACGAGGGACCCCTCAGGTCATTAAGCCAAGCAAGCATGCAGGCAGGCAGAGCTCAGGGCAGCGTTTAGGAAGACGAGCCAGCCAGAGGCCTGCTTGTGACCTGGAGTGGGAAGGGGGAAGGTTGGCCCCGCAGTGACCTCGTGGTGTGGCCCCCCTCTGTTGCTCATTTTTCTCAGGAGGCTGGCCTGGGCAGCGCAGCCCTCTGGTGGAGGATGGGAGGAAGCCTGGTGGGAAAGGGAGGGTGCCCAGATGGCCTGCCACGGTCAGACTGGAGCTGAAGAGCTGGCTGGGCCCCCCTTCAGAGGCATGCTTTGGTGCCTGCATTCACAATGGAAGGAAATGATAAGTCTCAGGTAGAGGTTGGTGAAAGTAAAAGATCGTGAAACTCCTGAAATCTATGGACTGCAGGCTAAGAATCTATCATTTTACTGAGGAGGAAACTGAGGCAGAGAGCGAGGAAGCGATTTGCCCGTGGGGCCACTGCAAGGGCCAGGCTTGCAGGCAGCTACGGGGCACAGAGGGAGGACCCTGGGTCTGGAGTCTCCCCTCACTCCTAGGAGCTATGCGACCCTGGGCACATCGCTTAACCTCTGGGCCTCAGTTTCCCTATCTGTAAGATGGAATAATAGCATCTGTTTCACAAGGTGCTTCTCAAATCAAATGACGTTACAGTCTCTAGACATGCTACTTAGCAGCAGCAGCATCATTAGAATTGAGGCCTCCCTGCCTCCAAGACAAGGCAGAGTTGGGCATAGGCTCCAGGTCACTCGTCCATCAGACATGGTTTGACTTGACTAATGTTGAATTGAGCTCATAGAATTTGTTCAGTTTAATTCAACAAGCATGTATTAGTCTCCTACTGTGTGCAAGGTGCTGGGCATTTGTGCCATGACAATGTAAAATTCTGCTCCATCCTTGTTCTCAACGCTAGAGCCCTCCAGACCCCGTCTGCCCATCGGTGACTTCCTCTGTCCCCATAGACACTGAGAGCAAAGGCAGCAGGGCTAGAGGCATCCAGACCCCATCCACCCATCGGTCACTTCTTCTGTCCCCATAGACACTGAGAGCAAAGGCAGCAGGGCTAGAGGCATCCAGACCCCATCCACCCATCGGTCACTTCCTCTGCTCCCATAGACACTGAGAGCAAAGGTGTCAGGACTAGAGGCCTCTGGATCTCATCCACCCATCGGTCACTTCCTCGGCCTCCATAGACACTGAGAGTAAAGGCATCAGGGCTACAGGCCTCTGGATCTCATTCACCCATCAGTCACTTCCTCGGCCCCTGTAGACATGGAGGGAGCAAAGGCATCAGGTAACTTCAGCTCCCTCCTTCATTTTCCTCTTTCAGGACGGTGTAAACTTAACTGTTTGGTCCCTGTGTAAAAACCTCACTGGTTTCTGGGAAATTAAACTGCTCCTGGAGATTGAACAAGAACAGCAGTTTCATTTCTCGGTGTCTCCCTCCAGGGCAAAGGGCACTGTGCAGCCCCACTGCCTTCCCATATCACGGTAAGTGTTAACTTGGCCCTCTGGTTCACCAAGGGTTTCTTCTGGTGGCTGCCAGGGCTGTCCCTCCCGTCTCCTTTCCTGTGCCCAGGCCCCTGCCCTTCTCTGGCCACCCATTCTCATTTTCCCCACATGTGGGAGAAATCAACGTGGTGATGCCCTTCCCCCAGTCTCCCGTGGCTCCCCACGGTCGTTTGGTGGGTGGCCCAACCTGAGCTTCAAAAGCGTCTCTGTGCTGGGCATCATTAGCCAGGAGTCGAGGCTTTTCCATCTGTGCCCCACAAACACACGCCCAGAAAGAAGGTTTTCTTCCCCCAGCCCCTTCCCTTCCATTATGTGCACACGTAGTCTCATCTTCTTACCTGGAAGGTTTCAAGAGTAAGAACCAGTTTTCTGGGCGACAGCATTCCTGTTAGAACTAGATAAATCCAAAGGAAAGATAAGAAGGAAATTATAGGCTTAAAAATGTCCCCAAACTGATAACTGTGAAGAATTCTGACCAGGAGTGACAGAAAATACACATATTTTCATGCTTCCATGAGATTTATACAAAATTGATGACTTCCCAGGGCACCAAAAAACTTCAAAGAAATGCAGAAAAGCAGAAATCCTAAATGTATCCTTTGCTTACGCACACACACAAAACCAATCAATTAAAAAATGGGAGGAGAAAAATAAAGACTGAAACAGCAACGTGAACCATGGAGTGAGAGGTGGTGGTAGCACAAGGTAGCCTGCTGAGGCAGTCCTTAGAAGGAAATCCTTATCCCTGAAAAGCTGTAGTCATAAGAGAAAAGGAGCAAAAGAACTGAGCGTGAATTTTTT